TTTTTTTATGAAATTGTTTCAAATAATACCAAAACGTGTCTTGAAGTTAGGACAAGAATTTTATTTATCCTGGTATATTCCGCTTGCCATAAACCATAATTAGAACATTAGTATTAGTTTTTTTATATCACATCTGGCTCACGACAAAATTCATATTTTACCGATTTTCAATTTTTTTGTCTATCGTTTCCATGAAAATATCGGGGATGGCTTAAGAAAATACATTATACCAAACTTCAATTCATTTCTAATTACTGGTGTAATTTTCCTATCGAACCGACTAAGGGAAGACTGTTAAAAAGTTTATTGAAAATGCTTGGCCTCGTCCAGAAAAGACTGTATCGAGCCTACATTGACTGTGCTATACAAAAACTTTGAAATTAGTAAAATTCAATTTCAAACATTGTAGTAAAAAATAAGAAACAAATTTTGAAAGAACATGACATATTCATTTGTTGCAACAAGTTTTATTTAGAGTAGTTTTTCTTTTGTAATTAAACCATGAATTTTTTGCCAAGAAACACATTGTTAAACGTTTGTAGCAACAAAGATTCCATCCAAATAAAACAAAACACTGATCAGGGAATATTGAGAGAACTTATTCATCCCCTTTTATCCAGGTTGCTGGTTCTTTTGTTGATTCGATGTGGCTGCTGTAGCTGCGTTACTGTTGCGATGTTTTACCATACTAGTTACAAAATCATTCATTTTTCGACAGTTTAATGTCAATATTTTCCCGCAGTCAGAGTTTTTTTGTCAAATTATCAAATATGTCTCCTTCGAGAAAGTTGCTCACAGTTTAAGAAAATATTGCACTGATTTGAATTATTAACCATCCGTCTCCACTTGCTTGTCAAAAACGAACCAGGCTAGTAATCAAAATAACCCGACATGGATTTTTAGAGAAAGGTGTTCAGATCACATTTGCGATGTTGACACGGATCGCTCAGTCTTGCCCTGAATCAAGCGAACTCTATATGGAGCCTATATGTAATCCTCTGCACTTTTGGAAAACTTTCACTTTGTATTCAGAAAACAGAAATATTTTACTGAAAATGAATATATCTTTCAGTGTTATCTAGAATTCGCGAGCTTTTAGCGGAAATTAAATATATACCGTGTACTTAACTTTGCAGGGTTTTGGTTATATTAAACGACTAACCGTGAAGCGGCGCCAAAGCATGTTGGTCGTTTAGGGTATGCTGAAACCTTGGAGCATACATTTGTGAGCAGTGGAACATGTTGAGGAGTCATTCTTGTTTAACGGCCGGCTTGTGTGATGTTTGTCAGTTCTGGTACGGTGGCAAGCTGCTTGCCACAATTTTATTAATCTCACGATTTGTGATGGTGTAGAAATCTCCTTGTACCTTGTCAATATCCGATTTTGTACATGGATACGAATTTTAGCTGTAGAGTCTGACAGCTTTCCAAGTCGTGCTCTTTTCCTTGATTTTCTCGATTCTTGGGAGGACCTTCCCATTGAAAAGTCCCAGAGACTCAAAACTTCCTGTTTAGTTTCGAATGGACAAGGTTTTTATAAAATTTGTCACGAATTTGACTTGTAGTAGAGACTCTAGAATATTGCATGATAACCTCGGTTGCTGATGGGAAAACTGATGAATACTGTTTAGAACAAATTTGCCAAGGATGGCGCTTAGATATAAAAACTCAAAATTTTCTGAACGAGGACTTGAATACATAGATTGCAAAACAATCCCATTTCACTTGAATTTGAAGACGCAGCAACATCTTGATCGAGGATTTCGCCTAAACTACGGGAAAACTTAAAAACACCGCTATCAATTTCAAGTTTTACAAAATATCTCATATATTTTATAGCGTAATATTATGTGAAAAGGCAGCTGGATCTTAAAACGATATTAAATGCTAATAGATTGGTGAACTCGACATGATAGAATCGAAAAATCCAGTGTAAACAAGTTTGAAGAAAATCAGCGTCATGATCGCTAAATAATTTGCAAGTAAGTAGATGCTTCTTGTAGAAGATGTGACGTTAGGCTGATCGATTCATTTTTTTCTGATGTAGTGCTGTGTAAAGTCTTGAATCCTGGCTATTTTTTCTGATCTTATCTGTTGTTATACCTTGTTAAACCAGTCTTGTTGGACTGAGTCTTTCAATGCTCGCTTTCTTATAATTTCTACTGAGACAGTGGATCGTGATGTCGGCTTTTCTTCTGACTAACCAGCTTTCAATCTGATGAAGATTTCTCAAATCTAACAAACTACTTCCCAGAAAGGCCATATCAAGTTGTCTGAAATAGCTGTAACTTGCCTTATAACGCCTTATAACATGGTGAGAGTTCTTCTTTCTCTTCTCTTCAGGCGCCAGCGAAGCAAAATTATTCAAACTGAAAAGTTTTCGTTAAGTGGCTCTGCACAAGCTGCAGCAGCTGCAAGTTACTCGTCTCTCCTTTCGTCAGTTGTCTTC